AAGAAATGTGGATTATTTATTTATTTATTTATTTTCTTTCGTTTATTTCTGACTTTCTTTCTTTCTCTACTGAATTATATATTTTGAAAACAAACAAACAAACAGACACACAAAAAACAATCGTAGGCAGATCCGGAGGCAGAGGGGGTCATAGCCACCCTTTGGTTAAACAAATTTGTTCATACAGATCTAATTATTATCATTTGTTATCATTATTTTTTTATTTTTTTATTAGAACTTTAAATATTGTGATAATGATGATTATTTTGTATCATTATTATGTATCATTATTATTATTACATAAAACTATTTTTCATTATCATCATCATCGTTGTCATTATGATCATTATTGTCAGAAGTAGTAATAGTTAGTAGTAGTACTAGCAGGCGCGGATCCACGGGGGGGGGGGGGGGGCGACGGACCCGCCACCTGGCAAAAAAAAAATCAAAAATTCTCAATAATTAGGCCAAAAAAGTGCTCTTACTCCACCCCCCCCCCTCCCCCTTATACACCGGCTGGCTGAGTCGCCGCTAAATATTTGTTCACGAATTGGGCCCCCCATCCTCTTGCCGCCGGCTGGATATTAGTACAGGCATGAGTGGTCATTAGCGTACGCAGGATTTTTTCAAGGGGGGGGGGGGGGTTAACATTTTTAAATCAGGCCGAAATTTTCGCAACGACTCAGCCAGCCACTGAATAAGCGGGGGGGGGGGGGGGGGGGGGGGGGGGGGGTAAGAGGACATATTAATTAATTTTTTTGGTCCCAAAATTTGGAAATTTGACATTTCGTTCCGTTGTGGGGGGGGGGGGGGGGGTAAGGTCCCCTTTTTTAGGTCACCTACTTTTTTTTTTGGTGTTAATTAAAAAACAAAAAACAAAAAAAACAAAGGGGGGGGGGTTCCTCCAAAATACACACATAAAAAATACCAAAGGGGGGTTTAACCCCCCCCCCCCCCCCTGCGTACGCGCCTGTGAGTGGTAGTAACTCACACTTCTGGGCACAGTTGTGTTTTGAGTTTCTTCTTGTGCTGAAGTGACCTGTAGTAACCATGCTCCATTCGTGAGACTGAAATCTTTAGTGCCGCTAAATATTTGTGCTCAACGGGGGGGGGGGGGGGGGGGGTAGTGAGCAATACAAATAGAATCCTTTGGGGGGCCAGGGGTGGGGGCCCTGGCCCCGTGCCCACTCCCTGGATCTGCCACTGGTTGTTGCAGTGTTTGGACAGAAATATCATTAGGCCTATTTACAATTTGAGTTGAGTTGAGTCGAGGTTTTATTATCCAAACGTTCAAATATAGTAATATAACAATAATAAATGTATGTTTAACAAATGTAGTGTTATCCCCATATCCCAAATATTCTAGAATATGATAATGATGAGGGGTGGTGATCCTGAGGGAGAGGGTGACAAGTTTTCCCATGAAATTATGCACAAAATTCAGATTCGATATAAAGCGGATAAAAAATTATGTTAAAGGTACTATGTCCCATTTGCAGGCCAAAAAAATGAAAAGGTTAAAGTCCAACAGCATTTAAAAGGTAATAATAATCTTGAACTTCCCTAAAAAAAAAGGGGGGGGCTTGAAAATGTCTTTAAGTGGGAAAATAACGACTATTAGTTGCCGAATCGACTTAAGAGCTATAGAGCCAGTAAGTAATAGTCTGATTTTCAAACCATTGTACAGAGTGTCCGTACGTTTCATGCTGCGCAAAGATTCAATCAGTTTCATTTTTGGTCATTACAAGAAGTGGGTTATTGATGTAGACAAATGCTCATGTACCCTTTACAGCTCATTTTATGTATGTTATTACCAAAGAAGAAAAAAAGCCAGTCTGTCACTCAATAGTGTCTGACAGTAAAGTCTAGCAAGTAAGCGGGTTTCCTTGCATAATTTGAATATTAGGACACTACTTACGTTTAAATTTAACAGATGATGACATATCCTAATTCCTGCAAAGTTCTACAGAATTTGACGTTGGCTGCAAAAGGGACAAAGTAATGTTAATTCCATCCCGTCATCATGCAGGAACCAATAAGCCTGTAGTCTCTGAGCACTGTCTCTAGTTCCGAAACATTTGAAATATTTCAACATCAAAAAAAGGTGTAATTTCTATTCCTCTTACTGTATTTTCTCCGAAACGATTATATACGTAAAAGCTCCATTCTGTCATGGACCTCCATTTCTAACTGAATAAAGAAACGTGCATTCCCTTAACCGATTCATTTTTTATGTGTGCCATCGTTTATTAATTGTTGTGGCAAATGATATTGGTTTAGGTAATCGGGTATATAAAACTTGTCATTAGCATCATTATCAGCGTCATCGTAATCTTCTTCTTCTTCGTCGTCTTCTTCTTACATTTCTTCTTCGTCGTCTTCTTCTTACATTTCTTCTTCTTCTGTCTCATTCTATTTCTCTTTATCTGCCCTCTCCCTTCTCAGGCCCTCCCTCCCTCCCTCTCCCTTTCTCTGTCTATCTCCCTCACTCTGCATGCACATGTATATTTGTGTAAAATAAAGTAAAACATAATTAATGGCTGTTGTTGACGGCGGTATAAGACACAGAAGCAAATAAAACAGTAATTAGCCGAACTACCAGTCATCCTGGTCATGCTTTTTCTTCCTTTTTTTCCTTCTTCTTCTTCTTCTTCTTCTTCTCCTCCACTTCTCCCGTCCACCCCTCTCTCTCTCTCTCTCTCTCTCTCTTTCTCTCTCCTGCTCATGTTGGTGTTATTACCTTCCTTGAGGGGGGGGGGGTAAGGAGCACTATTTTTGTGGCTCAACAGGGGGGGGGGGTGAACACTCACACCCCCCCCCCCCCCTTGAGCAGAAATGGGGAGGGGGCCATAGATAAAACACAGATAAAGGGAGTTTTTGTTTGAACACCCAAAACATCCCCCTCGCTACGCCAATGCCACCAGTGGTAAGTTTATGTAATGAGGCCCTGCATGATAAATGGATATGGATGAAATTGGTAGTGGAGTAATGAGCAAAATCGTTTGGGGGCAGAAGAGAAATCTGCATAACCACCAATCTTACATATTACATGCCAGCCCCGCGGAACGTTTTTCAAAGTGGAGTATTTACGAGCAGGTAAAGCGTAGCTAGCGAAGCGAGTTGAGCGTAAATTAGCGTGGGGTCCAGGGGCTTTTCCCCGGTGGGGTCAATGGGTGAAGCCAGGCGCGTACGCAGAGTGGGGTTGAGGGGTCGAACCCCCCTCTAATTTTGTGTGTGTGTGTATCTTGGAGGAACCCCCCCCCTCAATTTTTTTTTTAAATAAAAAAAAATATAATTAAAAATATAAAAATAGTGCTAATGGGTGACCCCAAAAAGGTCACCCCCCCCCCCCCCAAAGGAACGAAATATCGATCGGCCCCGCTTATTCAGCGGCAGGCTGAGTCGTTGCGAAATTTTCGGCGCGATTTTCAAATCTTAAAACCCGCCTGGGTGAAGCCCACGGAAGCTCAGGGGTTTTAGGCATTCAATTACGGTCAGACAAGGATATTTAGATACCTTATTTATGACACTGGCAGGTCACTAATTGACGGGGTCCAGGGAGGCTGAGCCTCATGAAGCTCAGGGGCTTTATGCATTTAATTACGGTCAGATGAGCATCCAGGGGCCCGCCTAAGGCTCAGGGGTTTTAGGTGGTAATGTTAATTTTACCTTTATTAAACCAAAAATGAATATACCCCCCCCTGGCCCCCAAAAGAAAAAAGAAAAGTTTTTCTTTTTTGTTGCTGAAGGGGGGGGGGGGAATGAATACTCCTTTTCTTCAACTTCCAGCCCCCCCCCCCCTTGAGCAACACAAAAGAAAAACATTTCTTTCTCCTTTGGGGGCCAGGGGGGGGGGGTATATTCATTTTTGGTTTTAAAAAGGTAAAATTAACATTACCACATTTTTTCAAGTTGTATTTTTTTGCCAGAGAGTGGGCCCTAGACCATCGCCCCCCCCCCCCTTGGAACCGCCCCTTATTGTCCTATATTTATGTTTATCCTCCAACAGCTACCACTTGCTTAATCTAGAATCTGGCTGATTTAATTTTGATCTTCATGACACAAACGCAATGCGACCTCCAATTACTCACTGCCAGCCGAAGATGGCGAAATCCGATGAGGACGCCCGGCGAATTATTTTGTCTAAGGCCTGGCCATAGGGTTGGTGGGGTCGTGTTCAATCCCTCCTGTTACACACCTAAAAATTTCAATTTCTTAGTTAGTTACAGGAGCTGAAAGTGTTAGACTTTCTCTTTCAGCTCATATATGACTCGCGCAGGTGACTATTTGTTAATGGTCGCAGAAATTAACGAAGATTTCTGTCCAAATAGAAATTCTATGAAAGATTCTATGAAAGACATGATCGACATAATATAAGATGAAGTAAAACTATATGGCTCGCATTTTATGTAATAATCGAAGAAATTGAAATGTCGAGGTATGTTCCAGATAGGGTGGTAGGTGGACATGTTTTGGGCCAATTTCAACGAATTTCGAGTTATTCTCACACATTCTAGAGATGGAGTACATAACTTACAAATATATATTCTAGGGTTTGACATACATCATAGCTTTTATTTAAACATATTTGTGGCTTACACCCAGTAAATAAGATCGATTGATCGATCTGTATTGAAAAACAAGTCAGAAAAAATCTTGGAACCAGCGGGACTTGAACCTGCCATCTACTGCTTGCCGGGCAGCGACTCTACCACCTGGGTGTAAGCCACAAATATGTTTAAATAATTGAAATTTCTCCCAGGAAGCATTACATTTATTAAAAAAATATTTTTTAAAAAGTCATAGCTTTTTTTGTCGCATCAACACTTTAGATAATATATTTGTATGATACCTGCTAATGTAAACTGCATGACTGACTCATGTGTCGACAGTTATTTACAAATAACAGCAATTCTTCATATTTCATTTTTTTCCTTTTATTGTTGGCTTTTTTTAGGATACCGTAATTGGTCTCGAAATGTGTGGTCGCCAAAGTCAGCGCAGTCAATAAAGAGAACCGCCATTTGCTTTGCTCCTCCGAACGGCAAGTAATACTAGACGGGTGTACGTGGGCTACCAATCATGAATACGTAGTTCATCTATACGCGTGTATAATAGTATAGAGTCTACTCAAGAAAACTTGGGAACATTACTTTCTATGAAGATCTTCTTTCAAAGTTAAGGGCCAGGAATAGTGATCGCCATGGCTTCATCGAACACTGATTTGCTAGATTCTGTTGTTTCTGAAGAAGTTGAATGCGCCATATGTCTCAATAAGTTGGATACACCACGTATATTAACATGTCTGCATAGCTTCTGTGAGAAGTGCTTGGAGAAGTGCATCCAGAACCAAAAAGATGACTCGTTCCAGTCAGGTAACAGCACCTTGAAGTGCGCACTCTGCAATGAATATACTGCCCTAAACGATGCTGGTGTCCGTGGACTGAGACTCGACTTCAGAGCTACGCGTTTAGTGGAAGCTCTTCAGGAAAAGGAGACCCGGGAACTCAAACTTGCCAGTTCAGCCCATCGCTGCGAGGCTTGCGGACGTACTGATCCTGGAGAACCTGCCTCGACGGAAAAGTCGCCTTTCACCTACTGCCGAGAATGCTGCCAGGTCCTCTGCCAGCGCTGCTCTGAGGCTCATGCTGGTTTACGAATGAGCCGAACGCACACAGTTGCTAACATATCTGACTTGCTCAGCGGGAAAGTAACCATCCAGAGCAAAGACGACTCAATGCTATGTCCAAAACACGACGAAAAACTGAAGTTTTTCTGCGTGGCTTGTCTTGAACCTGTTTGTCATGACTGTACCCTGATTGATCATAACCGAGAGCAGGGACACCAGCTCCAATTCCTGAAGGACTTTGTCCCTACCATCCGTGAAGAGCTAAGCTCACGTCAAGAAGAAGTTTCTAAGAAATCTGAAGAGTTCTCAGAGTTTCTTAACTTGGCTGACGTACTCGAAACCAATATCATCCACAAAACAAAGGATACAAGCAAGAACATACAAAAAGGTTTTGTCGAATACCATAGCAGGGTAGAAGAGGCGCGTTTGCAAATAGAGAAAGTGGCCTGTGAGTATATTGGTGAAAAAATTGAGCAGCTGAATCAACTGAGGAAGAAAACACAGCATATCAAATCACTGGCGGAGAAGAGCTTGTTATTGACAAACCAAATCATGGAGAATGAGCAGGATCTTGTCGGTATGGCCTCTATGTACAAAAGTCTTAGAGAGGCCATGGACAGAGCAATTGCTGAAAAACCTGATGAGCAGGAGCTGGAAAATATAAGGGAATATATTGATCACTTGCACTATCACGTGACACCTCTCGACGCAAAAGTTGGAAAAGTTGCGGTAGGGTGTAACTGCACAGAGCGCAGTACTTCGAGCGTTGCTTGTAAGAGTGGTCCCAAAGATGTACAGTTTACTCGCGACGGAAGAATATCAGCCATTGTCGAGGCTGAATGCATCGTAGGTACACCAGAGACAGTTTATGTACAGACCGGTAATGAAACAGTCTACACACGTCCAGCATTCGACGGCTGGCCCCAATACACAGCCGTTAATCGAGGGGTTTATCAATCCAAAGAGGTGAAAAATCTTAAAATGTTTGCTGCAATCAAGCAGACAGCCACGAGCCTCCCAAGCTGTACCTCGTTCAATTGGACCTGCTGGCTTCCAACATTGCAGTATGACAGCATCAGGTGCTTTACTTCTCTTTCAGATCATCGCTTCGTCATTGCAACCACTGATGCAATGTTGTACATCCTTGGGAATACTCTAGGAGAGATGTCTCACGGTTTACCCGGTAAACGAAGTATATCAGGTATGGCAACAGATAACGAAGACAACATCTACATCACTGATAGCGAAAACCACAAGATATACATCCTACGATCCGACGGCAACCTGAAGGATACACTGAACGTTGAAGACATCTCACCGACCTGCGTCGCTGTCCCTCACATGGGACCTGACGTCATTGCGGTCACGCACGAACCAGCCACGGTATCCATCCTAGACCTCAACGGGAATGCTCTATGCTCCATCCACAACGAGGAATGGAAGAAGGTGGCCATCGGATGTGATGCTGATCGGCTGCTCTACATCCTCTGGTCCGACCAGAATAACGAGAAGACGCTGCAGAGGTATACCTTCCAGGGGATACAGGTAGATACTCTGTTTGAGAAGGAATCGCACAGCTGCAACGATCTTGTTCTAGCAGTGTCACCAACAGGAGCTTGTGCAGCTGCAGTGGTGACCACGACCGGTGTTGACGGGGAAGTGGTGACTGTAGCGCCAAGAGAAAAGCCATCGTCTGAAATGGCTTCATAGGCGTCTTTATAAAGGTGAACTATAAAATTAAACTCGATTTGTGACACTTGAAGTGTCGCTATTTATGCTTTTGAAAATAAATGAAGTAAAACGAAATGAAAGAAGAAAAAAATTGACATGATATTGGTTTATTAACTTTATAATATAGAGTAGGCCTATATTACTTATGTTACCATTACAGAAGTAAGAAGTTAACATGAGGTGCTTCATAAACCAGTGGACTAACATTGACCGACAGTAACCTGGACTAAGCTGGTACGCTTTTATAAATATCGGCAATGGGATTGTTTATGTTTAAGTTTTTTTTTATATAATTATAATAACTCGACTTGTAGCCAAGCTGCCACGATAAGACACTCAATCATCAATTCTTAAGCAATCAGCGAATTTCTTGAAACCATCGTTTCCCCTTTATCACTTCACCTGGCTAAAGGTCGGTCAATGTAGAAGTTATTAAATGTGCCTTATAATTTGGACTTTGCTGGGACAAGTTGATCCGTAAAATGTGGTGACATAATGTCACGACATCATATATTTTTAAAGTTCGTTTTCATTGTTGCAAAGCTATTTAAAGGTTTAACCGTCATGACAAATTGCACCCCCAAAAAAGAAAAAAAAAAGAAAGAAATTGTATCAAATCATTCACTTATAAGATCATTTACCTACTTCCTATAGATCCGCAGTGTTTAATTTACGCTTTAAAGTGTTTCACTTTGACAGTGAGTGATGTACTAACTGCAGCTAACCAGTTCTGATTTTACGTCGATATATTCACATACCTATGCTCTCCATGAAATTATATAAAAATTATATCAAATGTTGATCAAAAATCGTTGTCGCCGTTGAACTAGAAATATATATAAAGTTCATTTTTATGGATTGGCTCAGAATTCTGATATAAATTGTTTGTGTGATCAACCCGCAAGCATTTAAAAAATGTTTTAACATGATAACAAAATGGTTGTATTATAATTATGTGTCTCTGGCAAAAATTCTTTACTTAAATATGTTGGTAGAAGAATGACTTCTTGGATTCATATAACGCAAATCTTGACGTCGCTTATATACTTCCTCGAGTCTCTTTAAAGCTTGTAAAGTTGAACATAATGTATAGATGATACAGAAGTTATAGCCTAATTCATTGAAATTATTACGGATGATTCGTTGTTTTTCTATACATAGCGTTCCCCGTGTCCTAATGACAAAAAGGTTGAATATAGCATCGTAAACATGCTTGCATAGACTTTGTGGAGATGAAGTCACGGGTAATTTCATTGCATTATCATATATTCCGAAGAAATCATGTTTGGGTTTACGAATTTTTTTTCCCGCGCGTTTCATGAGGTGATGGGCAAGCCTATTGAACTTGCATTTGGTTGATTTTTCGAAAGACTTTGCGATTGTGTTCAGAGAGACTCATAACATGCAGAGACGAATTCCGAAATGTTGGAAATTAAAGGTAATACAAAGTTTTGGGAAATTTTGAAAATTGGGTGGATAGTGAATCTTTACAATTTTGATATATTTGGATGCCCCTGTGGATGTATTATAAGCACTAAAAAAATTAGCCCCTAAAACATTTCTGTTTTCGAGAAAAATTGAATATACATATTTACCGGTGCTCCCGGTAAATTTTGATAAATTTCAAATAGCGCCTAAGGCCGTACAATAAAATTGTAGGAACGCATATGCTTCCAATATGTTAATTTGAACCAAATTCATAACCCTATGCGAAAACTTTGTAATACCTTTAAGGGGTGCGAAATGTTTGAAACGGCGTTCTACAAGGAAATCGGAGTGTAGAAATTGTAATTCGTATTTTAATTTCATATTTCAAAAGATTTTGTTTCGCCTTTATATGAAAATGATATTGTTATAATAAAATCGTCTTTAGTGGTTTAATGTACATTTGATTACAAGATTAACGTTTTGAAATGGTTCATGTACATCATGTTGTTGCCAGGAGTGAATCCAGCCGGCGGCGAGGGGGGGAGGGGGGGGGGGGCAATTCGTGAGAAAAACTTTAGCGACGCTAAATATTTTTGCTCAATGGGGGGGGGGGGGGGGTAGTGAGCACTTTTTGCCAGGGTTGGGGGCTCTGCCCCCCGCCCAGCCCCCTCTGGATCCGCCTCTGTTTGTTGCAGTGTTTGGACAGAAATATCATTTTTACAATTTGAGTTGAGTTGAGTTGAGGTTTTATTGGTCGAGGCATTCATCGATTTCAAGGTTACCACACATTATGGCGGTCTCCTGCGTTTTTTGTAATTTATCTTTTTTCATTGAAAAATATTTGTGTTTGTATGCATCTTAAAAATTCATAATTATGTATAATGAAAAAATAATTGTTACTTTATGTATATGATTATGTTCTATTTTCAAAACGCAGAAATAAAAACAAAACAAAAGAAATTATTCAAACGTTAAAATTCAGTAATATAACAATAATAACAATAATAAATGTATGTTTAACAAAATGTAGTATTATTCCCATATCCCCAATATTCTAGAATATGATTACGATCAGGGGTGGTGATCCTGAGGGAGAGGGTGGCAAGTTAACTCATGAAATTAAGCACGAAATTCAGATTAGATATACAGTGGATATGTATATAGAAGATAAGGTAATATTATTTATATCCCGTAATGCAGGAACCGATAAACCTGGGACCCGTTTCACAAAGCATTTTTTCAATGACAAATGACAAAAATCAGTGACAAATCTGCTGATAACCAATCAGAAGCAAGGATTTCAGTAGCTTATAACAAAAACTGTCATTTGTCACTGATGACAAGTTTGGTGAAACGCCCCCCTGGTTTCTAGTTCCGCAAGATTTGAACTTTTGTAATACTTCTACATTCAGAAAAAAGTGTAATTTCTATATCTCTTACTGTATTTTCTCCGAAACGATTCCATGCGTGAAAGCTCCATTTTTGTTCAAGGACCTCTATTTCTAACTGAATAAAGAAACGTACATTCCCTTGACCAATTCATTTTTGTTTTGTGTGTCATCGTTTATTAATTGTTGTGGCAAATGATATTGGTTTAGGTAATCGGGTATATACCAATTGTCATCAGCAGCGTCATCATCATCATCATTTTCTTCTTCCATTTCTTCTTCTCCTGTCTCAATCTATTTCTCTTTATCTGCCCCAGGCGCGGATCCAGGGGGGGGGGGGCCGAGCGGGCCTTGCCCCCCCCCCCCCCGCAAAAAAGAGAAGAAAGGAAAAGAAGGGAAAAGGAAAAAGGAGAAAAGAGGAAAGAAAGAAGAGGAAGAAGAAAAGAAAAGGGGGAAGAAGGAGATCGGGGGGCCGAAAGGGCCTTGCCTCCCAGGCTGTTAACCCCCCCCCCCCCCCCACCCCCAATAAAAAAAAATAAGAGAGAAGGAAGGAAAGGGAAATAAAAAAAAGGAAAAGAGGAGATACTGGCGTACCGATAGAGGGGGGAGGGGGGCTTGGGGGAAATCAAATTCAAACGTGGTTTATTTCTAATTCCACAACGGTTGATTACAAATAATGCTGAAAAGACATTTCCGAAATTTGTCCTCACTTTTTAGTAAATTATACGTTTGTATGTGTTTGTTGGAAAATGACAAATTCCTAAATTTACAGCCAGGCAAAAAATATGATTCTTGAGATTCCTACATGTCAGGGCCCGAAGTACGGCGGGGATCGAGAGCCTCGAGCCCCCCCCCCCCCACCCCCCACTTTTCTTGAAAAAGTATATTAAAGAGAAATAAAATAGAATGAGAGCAAGAAAGTAAAAATAGTTAACTGCCAGTGTTAACAAAATAATGAGGCATCAAAATATGCTCATCTAACCGTGATTAAATGCCTAAAACCCCTAAGCTTCCGGGGGCTTAGGGACTTTAGATGATCATCTGACGGTAATTTAATGCCTAAAACCCCTGATTTTTGGGGGCTCCGCCCCCTGGACCCCACGCCAAATATTGACCTGCCAGTGTCACAAAATAATAAGAAATACAAAAAAATATGCTCATCTGACCTTAATTAAACGCCTAAAACCCTGAGCTTCCGGGGCCGGTTCCGGCGCCTCGACCGAACCAGGGGCCCTAAGGCGGGCCCCTGAATGCTTATCTGACCGTAATTTATTGCCTTAAACCCCTGAGCTTGCGGGGTCGGACAAGGTATCAAGATGTGTTTATCTGACCGCAGGCGCGTAGCCAGGGGGGGGGGGGCGGCCCCCAATTGGAAGAGGACGTAGGAAGAAAAAGGAGCAGACAAAGAACATCTTTGAAATTCAGACAAGGATTATGAGTATAGAGAACGGTACAACGCATCGTTTTCTTTCTCTAATAATAAAACGTCAAAGCCTCGCGCAGGAGGGGAAGGGGGGGGGGGGACTGAATTCAGACGAGGATTCAGAGGCGAGAACGGTAATACGAATCTTTAATGATTTAATGAAACGTAAAATCTTCTGCGCTTCGCGCGGGATGGAGGGGGAACTAAATTCCGATGAGGATTATTTTCAAGAACGGTACAACGAGTCGTCTTCTTCTCTAATGATTAAATGAAGATTAAAAGCTTCCGCTCTTCGCGCAGGAGGGGGGAACCTAAATTCAGACGAGGATTAAGAGTCGAGAACTGTACAACGAATCGTCTTCTTTCTCTAATGATTTAATGAAACGTAAAAGCATCTGCGCTTTGCGCGGGAGGGGGGGGGGGACTGAATTCAGACGAGGATTAAGAGTCGAGAACGGTACAACGAATCATCTTCTTTCTTTAATAGTTTAATAAAACGTCAAAGCTTCCGCGCTTCGCGCAGGAGGGGGAGGGGAAGGAACTGGATTTAGACGAGGATTCAGAGGCGAGAACGGTAATACGAATCTTTAATGATTTAATGAAACGTAAAAGCTTCTGCGCTTCGCGCGGGATGGAGGGGGAACTAAATTCCGATGAGGAATATTTTCGAGAACGGTACAACGAGTCGTCTTCTTCTCTAATGATTAAATGAAGATTAAAAGCTTCCGCGCTTCGCACGG